GTTCTTCTCCAGTAGAGATCATTTATACATCATTCAATATTTTTTTTTAAAGTTGAAACAGTATCTTGTCCTAAACAGATAGTTCATTATCTTTGATATATTTGCTTCAGATGCTGGCGGTCTCCAGTATCCTATCAGGGGTCACAATCCTGTGTATTGTGACTAAATGGTCTTTAAAGCCTCTTGGAGCCTTAAGTGTTTATAATTTTTAGAATTTTAATTTCTCAGAAACCTTCTAAACTTGAGTTCTTTTATTTTTTCTGACTTCTTTCAAACCATTAACTTGTGTAGAACAGAATAGTCTAGAGTAGTCACTTACATGCCTACTGGTCAAAAGCAAATGCATTTCAGAGTGTGCAAAATTAATCACAAATGGTGATAAAGCAATCTGTAATGATACCATTGCACTTGTGTAGAACAGAATAGTCTAGAGTTGTCTCTTACATGCCTACTGGTCAAAAGCAAATGCAATTTCAGAGTGTGCAAAATTAATCACAAATGGTGATAAAGCAATCTGTAATGATACCATTGCTTTAGAGAGTGGACCTCATGAATTAAATACAATGGCGTTATCCTTTCAGAAGAAAAGTATGCGAAGGCAAATAAATTAAATTTCATTGGGAAAATATGGTTCTTGGAAATTCTTTTCTATTAATTGACTTTGAATTTCATTCTTTCTTGATGCTTGAGAATAGAAGTTACTTAATATAATCCAATGCAGATCGGTTATGTACATTTCTATTTTAAATCTATATAAAGGCCTCTCTCTGATTACCTACAGACCTGTATATTAAAAACAAAGAAACAAAACAGGAATATTCATCAAATATCATATCTCTGAGCCTGAGCAATATGATTTTTTTAATCTCTCCTTATGCAGCAACACCTTCCTTGTGATATATATGGATGTGAAAAAGTAAAGATTATAACTATTTTACCCCTAAAAATATAGTATTAAAGGAAAATAGATGGCACCAGATGAAGCCTAATTTTTGGGGTTGTTTTAAATAAGTTAATCAACTCTCATGTGAGCCAGAAAACCAGTAGTCTCTCTAATTTTAGTTTATCAAATCAACTTATTGATTGATTCAACAAATGTGTATTGAATACCTATTAGTGCCAGGCATTGTTCTAAACACTTGAAATATAAAACAGACCAAAACTCATGCCACAATGGGAAAAAAAAACTATAAACAAATAAGAAATACAATGTGTCCAATGGGCATTAGTGTTTAAGTCCAAGAAGAAATAGGAAGAACCACCTTGTGTAGAGTGGTGTGTGGTAGGAGGGGTGGCAGTGTGCAATTTTCAAATGAATAGTCAGCAAAGTACTCACTGAGAAAAAGATCTTTTGATGTCATCCCAAAAGCTATGAAGGAGAAAGCCATGCAGATATCTGGGGGGAAGTATTCCAACTTAAAAACCAGTACAGCAAGTGCTAAGGCGCTGAGGTGTGATGTGCATGTCTGAAAAAGAGCAAGTTGGCCAATGTCACTGAAGCAGAGTAAATGAGAGAGAAAGAGAATAGTAACAGATGGGGTCAAAAACGTAACTAAGGCCAGAATCTGTAGGGCCTTATAGGCAATGGTGAAGATTTGGGATTTGGGAGAATGCCATTAGAGAATTCTGAGGAGGGGCATGACATGTTCTTATTTAAACTGAACAGGATCTCAACTGTCTTGACAACAGACTGTATAGGTAAAGGGCAGGAGGGATGAGACATGACTGGAGACTACTCCAGTAACCCAGATGATAGATGATAAAATTATAGTAGCTTAGAATAGGATGACAGCAGCAAAGACAGTTAGAAGTGATAAGATTTAAAATGTGCCAGTATTTTACAACAGTCAAAAGAATTTACTGATTCCTTGGCAGTGAAGTGTAAAAGAAGGTGCATAGTTACTGATATCTCCAAGGATGTTGGTAGAAACAATGGAAGGAATTAATTGCCATCTATTGAGATGAGGAAGACTATATGAAAAAATGATTTGTTGAGAAAGATTAGTAGTTTGGTTTTGCACATAATAAATTTGAAATGCCTACTAGATATTCCAAAGTTTAGAAGTTGAGGTGCTGGGGGTGCCTGTAGAAAAGACCAAGAATGAACAGCCTTTGAGGTAGGAAGAGAATGAAGAAATCTATTGACCTGAAAACCAAGCAAAAAAAAAAAAGATTTTCACAGATAAGGAGTTAATCAACTGTGTCAACTGCCACTGGCATGTCAACAAAAACAGGACGGAGAATCAACTTTTGGATTTAGGAATGTGTGTGTGTATATGTATTCACACGTGCATATTTATATGTTTCTCCCTTAAAAATTAGTCATAATAATAATTCTTTCCAAATACTGTAAAGATGGAACAGTGATTCATTGGGAGATGAAAGTGATTAAGATAAAATTTTCTAATGAGGCTCTGTGATACTTTGGTTATAATTGTGATGAATATTTTACTCTAATTTAGTTTGTTCCAAATACGTTTTATTAGCTGTTTGTGCAAACAAGAGTGAAGCTGGTTCTATTTCAAACACATATTTCCTGACACATGGTTCAGAATCCCTCATGAAAATCTTCTAGAGGAGGAGATAACATCCAGCCTACAACTGGTATGAGTGTCTTGGAGAGAAACTGAACTAATTGTCAGGAAAAAAAAAATCAGAGCATTTTTATCATTTGGACATTAATATCCATTTACACTGACAAATCTTTGACTCAGATCCTTGATTTGAGCCTGTGGCATAGATTTCAGCCTAAACAAGCATACTTCTCCCTTTATTAGTGTTTAATTTTCTTTTCTCAGTACTGCCCAGTCTACTTATTCAAATCAGGCTCTCAGTAAAACATCAGTAAGCCAATTAATCCATTTCCTTAATGAGAACTCTCTATTACAAGAAAGGGTAGCTGCATAGCCTTATATTGAACCTATCAATCTTACATTTGGAGGGGAGAATGCCAATTATCCAAGCAATCTGGTTCATTACTGCAGCATTGGACCGCGTTGCTAAACAAGCCTAAAGCACAATTACAATAGCACTGTGGGAGCGGGTACGCTTGGAGTTGAAAATTTGTTGAGGGCCTATTATGTGCTCAGTTGGGTTAGAAGCTTTATTCACACCCCTTCATTTTATGCTCTCCACTACCCTCTGAGGAATTTCTACTTAGTTTACATTATGGCAAACCGAGGCTCACAAGTTGGAGAGTTAATGAACTGTGAAGCTATCACATGGCCTCCAATTGATGGCTACCCATAAATAAGAAGAACCTATTACTTTCATGGTCTCAGCTCGTGAATTCCGTAATAATTCTTTCCAATTTTAGCACAGACTATAAGAGCAGAAGATAAAGGAAATGGATTTTGTATCAGGACAAAAGGAGCCAGAGTGATGTAAATTTAATAATAAATATTCATTGAGTGAGTCATGTCCTCACCTCTGATCTTCTAATTGGTTCTTTCCTTGACACTGCAACCTTATGTCCAAACAGTGCCCCTGAATAGAAGGTTAACCTCATCATTATATGATTATCATAACCATTCCCAAATATTTATCAAGCACTCATTCTATATCTGATATGATAGGAATTGTTAGAGAGGGAAGGAGAAAAGAAAATAACTATACTTAATATTTCTCTCTGAATCTGCTTCATGAAGTAACAGTTGTAAACTTCAAATTGTATTACATAAAAGGCCTTTGGAGTTTGTAAAGCTTTAGCAAAGTTTTTAGTACTATCATCATCATTTTTAACCTTTTCCACGAAAATATTTTAATATTTCAATCACTTTATGAGTGAATTTTTTTAACACCTAGTCTTTTCTTATTAAAAAAAAATACCTATATAACATATGAATCTTCCATATTATAAATTTTTTTCTTTCCCACTTAGGATATGGCTTTTAAAATCAATGTAGGAAACAATATTCATTAAATGTTCTCTTTAAACAGATTGAACTCTAACATCCTCTCAGACAAGGTATGAATATGCTTACTGTGTTTTATTTTATTCTGTTTTCTACTCATTAAGTCAACGGAGTTCTTCAATTTCTAGAAAAATCTAAGTTGTCGTCATCTACATAGCCAGAGATTGCACCTAGCAACATTCAGCTAGTGTTGGTAGCCCTTCCTGATGCTTATATTTTAGTTGGTTACGGAGAAATAGTAAATGAACAAACAAACAAGGCAATTTCAGAAAGCGATACATGCTGCGAATTTTTTTTCATTAAAAATAAGATTTAATTGAAGCCTAGATATAAAAAGAATGGTACATTTGTCACACCATGCTCAATATCACATGTCGATGTAAAGAAAACCTCTGTTTAATATTAGTTTCCCTTCTCTCATGGCGTCTTCCTAATACTTCTAATTATGAATTAATATAATTAATATGTTAATAAATTTAAGTGTAGAATCTCTTTCCTTTATCAGACTATAAAGTTGATGAGAATATGTCAAAGGTTATATTACATACTAATGTATGTGGATATCAGTTTAATATCACAAAACTACAAATTATATGAATATTTGTTCACCATTGTTTCTGCCATGATCAGAAGTACAGTGACTGTCTCAGAGTAGATGCATGCTCTCTATATGTATGTGAATATATATATGTACACACATTTATATGTTGCAAAAAAGAATGAATTCTTTCCACAAATGTTGGGCATGTACTCTCTGTTGGGTATTGTTATAGTTACATTAACGTAAGACATGCAAGTCACTGCTTTCATGAGCTCACATTTGAATGCAGGGATAGATATAAATAAGGAAACAAGTGTTCTTTATTATCTGTCCCTCTTCAAAATTCTACCATAAACTTTACCCCTATACCCAATCTCTAGTGAAAGATCAGCAAGTAGTTAAGTACTTTGGGAAAAAAGAACACATTAGTATAAGAGTCTAAAATAAAAAAAATTAGCAAAAAGTTATGCAGAACTTGCTATGTACTAATATCTATTTTTACTGCTTTGTGATAATAATTTTGTCCTATTTCCCCCATTTTATAGATAAGGAAACTGAAGCACAGAGTGGTTTAGTGACTGCCCGAGGTCATATAGTTGGTAAGAAGTAGAGCTGGGATTTGAACCCAGGCAGTGTAGCTCTAGCCTAGATGCCCTAAACTCTATCTAAATACTTTTAAAAAGTATACTTAACCTTTTTTAGTGTGTTCTTTAACAGCTTATCCCACTAAAATTTGGACAGGTTATCTTCCTGTATAAAATTATTGCTGAACATCACAAAGGATTGAATCCAGATAGGAGTCTGGGTCCAAATTCAGTTTCACCTGTGTTCTATTCAGATGGACTATGGTGCCTCTAAGAATACAAAAAAGAAAACACCAAATTCTGGTTTTTGTAAGCCAAATTAAATTAGGTAATTGTTACATGCTTAACTTTCTAACACTATCCTTTTCTCTGTTCTTGAACTATTCTATTGCTGTAGATTGAGTATTGTGATGGTTAATTTTATGTGTCAAATTGACTGGGCCACAGTGTACCTAGATATTTGGTCAAACATTATTCTGGGTGTTTCTGTGGCAGTGCTTTTGGATGAGATAAACATTTTAATTGATCAGCTGAGTAAAGCAGATTTCTCTCCCTAATGAGGATGAGCTTCATCACATGAGTTGAAAGCCTGAAAAGAACAAAAATCTGAACACTAGATTAATTATATTGCGTTACAGTTTGTTGTTGGGGCTGTAACCAAGTGTTGAGTGTCACATGGAAAGAGAGGGTTGGAGTGCTAGAGACGACGCCAGAGATATGCAGAGACCCAGGAGACAAAAAGAAAGGAGCAAAGAGCCACATGCAAGGCAATAAAAACCCATAACAGTTCAGAAGTAAGGAACTAAAATTGTTCTGGGAAAATAACATGAAAATTGATTAAAATGCTCTTTTAAGAGAAAACCCTATTTGTTTGATATCTTCATAGTGGTTCTCAGGTACCTCCTAGGAGGTGTTTGGGAAAGTAGGGGGGCCTATTTTAATGGCTGAAGGGCTCTACTGACTGTCAGCAGATGGATGTTAAATGCTTTGTAGAGTGGGGGACAGTCGCTCCCTATGAAGAATGAGCCCATCCATAATGCCAGTGGATCCTCCCTTAAGAAATATTAGCAAAAAGCTTTCAGGTGATCACACTCTCGGTAAACCCAGAATTCAACTTTTTCCATATTCTCTCTGACTTCCTTATGCCTTTGGCAAGTAGATATATTAAATGGAATTGAAACTGTTTTTATATGTGTGTGCATATGACTGTATATGTGTCTGTGTGTTAATAAAATTGCTCTCTGTTCCACTATGAGGTCAGAATTTGGAATTTTCTAAGGGTACTTTTTTTATTTTAAGTTTTACATTAGTTGTTCTGTTGTAATTCCATCTTCTTAAATATTTATATATGAAAATATTTTAATGATCTGTGGTATGTCAGAAAATGTGGGCTGCCATTTTGCCAGAGACAGCTATCACCATCATTACCAGACAACACAGCCTGAGCAGCTTCTAAGAGTAAAACTGAAGATGAAATTACAGCTGCTGTATTATATATCATCCACTAAATGTCTGTTTCCTACTTCAGTGACATATCTCTCTTCCTTGTGAATAACATTTTTATACTTCTAAAAGAAGAAATGTTATGGGACCACCCATTCTTCTGGGACAATATCTACATGTACTGGAGGAGATAGAACATAGAGATATTCTTTTCAAATAGAATAAGCTAACCCCTTAAAGGTAGATAAGAAGCAAAACAATAGATTGTGTGAATAGGTAAAAGGAATTACAGGGTAAAACTTAATTCTGAACATGTATAATAAGAATAAAATGGATCTTGTAGGGGTGTTTGAAGTTACTTTTTCCCGTAGTTGCAAAATGACTTGCATTGTGGTGATACCATAATATCATATGCAGAATGTACCCTGAAACATTCTTGCCTCCACAATTTATGGAGTGAATTAGTTATACTGCAAACTCTGCTCCCTTTCAAATGCAAGTATGAGTTTAGACATACTAATGTCATGAATAATTGGCAAGCAACTATTGTGAAATTTACCAAAAATAATGACCCATGGTGGACATAGGGTTATAGAAAGGGATATTATTTGGAGAAACTAATGGAAACAAGATATAGAACTTTATTTAGGTGGGATCATATTCAACAAACAAAGGAGTCAGGTAAGAAAAAAAAAGAGTTAAGCATGAGAGCAACCACTCGGAGTAATTACTCTTTCAGAAAAAAGCAAGTCAGTGGAAGAAATTCATGTTAAAGAGGTGCAAGGTATTTACACGGCTGTACCCATTGGCCCTTCTGCCTCATACAAATGGTTGTTACATCTGTAGCCAAGTAAGAAAGGTGAATGTTTCCCAGGCCAGCAGTTCTGACCACTGTGTTACAATCTCTTCACAAGTGTATTATCAAATTTGATCCACAAATATTTTAAAAATATAATTTAGCATATATAATATTGTAGTAATGACTATCCAAGAGAACGTTTAGCCAGATATATTGCATAATACAATACAGAGACAGGAGCAACTTATTGTAGAAATAAGAATTAAGGAAGTAGCATCAAGTGCATAGAAATGAAAGGCCAAATATTTGTTGAAAGAGTGAGAATTCTGCCTCACTGTCTAATGGAAGGTAGTCAGGGCAGTAAATAGCTCTACTCAGGTCTCATGACAGTGTTGAAAGGTTACCAAACTGATAGACTGTGACGTCGGACTATTTTATAAGTTCTGTGAGACACTGTCATTCAGTAGTCAGGACTCCTCTATCATTACCACTTTCAATGTAATTATATTGTTTACAGTGTTTTGAGTTTTTCCATGCATTACAATTCACTGCTAAAAGTGTTGGTGTCTCACTGCAACCACATAAATATTGTGAACCCTGCCTTAGGGCCTGGATGCCACCAGCAAGCTGCCCAGTGTGTGAAGCCAAGAGGCCAGGGTAAAGCCATAAGCATGTGGGATAGGATCTCTTACTGCTAGAGAGAAGGCCAAACGTGTATTAGCAGTAACTGTGATGAAACTTCCAGAGCAGATTATAAAAACCTTTATTAACAGCCTAAGGGTTTAGAAGCATAAGCCTGTTGAAATATCTTTGTATTCAATAAAGGAAACTATGGTTCTGCAATTTACTTGTTTGAAATGAATTTTCCAATATCTTTCTACACCACATTTAACTAGATGGACGGGTAGGCTAAGTTGTGTATGTGACATGCTAAGAGGCCACAATGGACAACAACAGGGAGGAGCAAAAGGAGACGATGGCTGTAACCATCGCAGGAGAAACTCCTGATCCTCCTGGTGGAAATGAAGGGAAAGCATGAGCAGAGAGGGCCTACCAAGTGAATTTTTTTTCCTAAAAAATTTACTTATTTATTTTTGATTATACATATTTATGGAGTATAGAGTTGACTATCAGTATTTGTGTGCAGTATGTGATAATCAAATCAATATTATTAGCATGTTCATCATCCACATATTGTAATTACTCTTTGCATCCCTTACCCAGTCACTCCATTACTAACCCCCCTCGTCCTCCCCCTTTCCCACCTCTAGTAACTATAGGTCTGTTCTCTCCTTCTAAAAGTTCAGCGTTTTACTGTGGTCTTTCTTTCTTTCTTTCGTTTATTTATTTATTTTTCTTAAAACCTAGAGCTAGTCCTTTGTCATAGGCTTGTGAAGGGTTTTTTTTAGTGTCATTTCTGTCAAAACAAGAGCATCAAAGATTAATATGCCTTCCTGATTGACGTAGCCAGTGGCCTTATGACCATGGCTTAAAAACAATTAAAAAAAAAAAGCAAAACCACTAACACCTACACTCTTACACTCTTAGAACAACTCATAAATAAATGGAAGATTCCCTTTGTAGCACCATAGCAGGTGCTATTGTGACTGCACCGGTAATTTAATGCCATTTTAAAACAACTTGGCTGGGAACCTCTTTCGAGTTTCATATGTTTTCACCAATGCCACACTTCTTCACTGTACA